ATCTGTGCGGGTGGTGCCACTGCGGATCCGCACGAAAATCCGTGCATCCGCACCACCCGCACAGAGGAATGCGGACCCGCGGGCGGGTGCCATTAGTTCTAATGGCACGCCGCCCGCACTGGGAAACGCAACTGTACTGGGAACCGAGGTTCCCATGCGGGCTGCGTTTTCCAGAGTAGTGCAGGGACTTCTTTCCCTGTGTGCCACAGGCACGGCAGTCCATTCAAATGAATGGGCTCTCATTCCCGAGCAAAACGCGGCACGCACGGCCTAGCGTTAGATGGGAGACTGCCTGTGTGCTCAACGGCCAAGGGTTAGATGGGAGACTGCCTGTGTGCTGCACGGCCAAGAGTTAGATGGGAGACTGCCTGTGTGCTGCACGGCCAAGAGTTAGATGGGAGACTGCCTGTGCCTGTGTGCTGCACGGCCAAGAGTTAGATGGGAAACTGCCTGTGTGCTGCACGGCCAAGGGTTAGATGGGAGACTGCCTGTGTGCTGCACGGCCAAGAGTTAGATGGGAGATGGGAGACTGCCTGTGTGCTGCACGGCCAAGAGTTAGATGGGAGACTGCCTGTGTGCTGCACGGCCAAGGGTTAGATGGGAGACTGCCTGTGTGCTGCACGGCCAAGAGTTAGATGGGAGACTGCCTGTGTGCTGCACGGCCAAGAGTTAGATGGGAGACTGCCTGTGCCTGTGTGCTGCACGGCCAAGAGTTAGATGGGAAACTGCCTGTGTGCTGCACGGCCAAGGGTTAGATGGGAGACTGCCTGTGTGCTGCACGGCCAAGAGTTAGATGGGAGACTGCCTGTGTGCTGCACGGCCAAGAGTTAGATGGGAGACTGCCTGTGTGCTGCACGGCCAAGGGTTAGATGGGAGACTGCCTGTGTGTGCTGCACGGCCAAGGGTTAGATGGGAAACTGCCTGTGTGCTGCACGGCCAAGGGTTAGATGGGAGACTGCCTGTGTGCTGCACGGCCAAGAGTTAGATGGGAGACTGCCTGTGTGCTGCACGGCCAAGGGTTAGATGGGAGACTACCTGTGTGCTGCATGGCCAAGGGTTAGATGGGAGACTACCTGTGTGCTGCACGGCCAAGGGTTAGATGGGAGACTACCTGTGTGCTGCACGGCCAAGGGTTAGATGGGAGACTACCTGTGTGCTGCATGGCCAAGGGTTAGATGGGAGACTACCTGTGTGCTGCATGGCCAAGGGTTAGATGGGAGACTACCTGTGTGCTGCATGGCCAAGGGTTAGATGGGAGACTACCTGTGTGCTGCACGGCCAAGGGTTAGATGGGAGACTACCTGTGTGCTGCACGGCCAAGGGTTAGATAGGAGACTGCCTGTGCCTGTGTGCTCCACGGCCAAGGGTTAGATGGGAGACTGCCTGTGCCTATGTGCTGCACGGCCAAGGGTTAGATTGGAGACTACCTGTGTGCTGCACGGCCAAGGGTTAGATGGGAGACTGCTGCCTGTGCGGTTAGTTGACAGGTCAGCAGCTGTATGACCTCAGGTGAGCCCTATGGCTGATGATGGACAAGCCATACTGATGACAGGATTGCTAGGAGGCTACTTACTTTTTCCTGTGGAGATGTGGCTCCCTAGCCAGTGAGTGAGATTCCAGGATAGCTTTTTTTTTCTTTCTTTTTTTTAAACTTTATTGCCAAAACAATGAAAAAAATGAAACGGTGCTTACAGAATCTACAATGGTCCAGGCCAGCTTTAGAGCAACTCTTTTAGGGGGAAGTGGTTTCCTCAGCAAGTTGATTCACATCCTCAGCAGCAGAACTGCCCAGCCAATGTGGCCGTAACTCATAATGCCTCAGCGTATGTTTATCCCAACAGGGCCAACCTATGTGATAAAACTAATATTGCAGTTTTGGGTGGGTGTTGGCTAGCTGAATCAGCCATCAGTTCGTTTGACACTTTTGTTTGGCTTTGCCAGAGTCTGAGCAATTGGACAATACTAAATTCTGGAGAGGAGATCGCGCCACTGGAGTCCCCGAGAGATTTAAAATCAGTGTAAACCCTTACATATACCCAGTGAAGTGACTGGCCTCAGGTGATACACAGAGATGAAACAAATCCTCCTACATAAGCTGTACCTGTTTATCTGCAGCCTGCTCTTCTCTACATCTGTTCCAAGTGCTGAACGTACAAAGCTTGTCTGAGAGTTCAGAAAAAAAGGGGGTGTAGAGATGAAATTACACTCTGCAGAGCTCACTTAGAAGAGCTCTGAGAGCGGATTGGAAGGAAAGGGCATACCCCCTTCACACAGGAACAGAGCTGAGGCTGTCAATCACAGGTTGTGCCCTCCGCTGTTACCATTTTTCTCTTGGTGTCAGGAAAACTTGTCAGAAGTGACTCAGAGGATCAGAGAGTGTGGACCGGATACATTTTTAGATGGGGATAGGCTACAGAAGGCAATACGAAGCTGGGAACTTATTACATGAGGCTAGTAGAGATCAATGCTATTACCCTAATCCAGTGTTTCTCAACCTTTTTACAATCAAGGCACGCTTTAAAATTAAGGACAGTCCCGAGGCACCCTATTCTAAAACGGGGGACCTCTAGACTGTCCATAATTTTAAAAGGCACCCCATTCTAAAATGTGAAAAACTATTCTAATAGTTTTATATAACACAGTAACATCCACACATGTAGGACACCCAACATTAGAGGGGATTTATTCTTCCAAAGCAAATTCACTTTTGCACACTGGTACTGACTAGTATTCCAATGTTTTTCTTCTTCCTCAGTTTTTCTCCATCACTGAGCTAATGTGACCCCAGCACTGATGGAGAGGGGCGGGGGAGGGTCAAACTAGGAAGTTGTGCAGGCAGCTGACATCCTCCTTATTAACTGATGATGTCATTGGTTGTCAGGTCGCCAATGGCTAGAAGGTCGTAATGGCGCACAATGAAAACCTGTGACTTTGTGTAACTAAAAGGCAGGCTTGTTCCACCCCTGGCTTGTATACAAGTTTTGGGCAATCTCTACACATTTTGCCAAGGCACCCCTGAAGAAACCTCAAGGCACTCCAGGGTGCCTGGGCACCCTGGTTGAGAAAGGCTGCCCTAATCGATGTTCCCACTACAGACTTCTGAGGTCCCAGAGCCGCACATCATACACCAAAGGTCTGCAGGTTGGGCACCAGGGTTCTAGACAGAACTAGACCGGCTAGTTCCAGGGCAGTGTTCAGCTGTTGCAACTTTATGCATAGTTATGTGCTTGGGTGTTGTGGTATAGTGCAGTGCTTTGATGTATCAATGTAGTGCAGTTCCTAGTTGTAGCAGCATAGTGCAGTGCCTAGATGTAGCGGTGTAGTGCAGTGCCTAGATGTAGCAGTATAGTGCAGTGCCTAGATGTAGCAGTATAGTGCAGTGCCTAGATGTAGCAGTATAGTGCAGTTCCTAGTTGTAGCAGAATAGTGCAGTGCCTAGATGTAGTGGTGTAGTGCATTTCCTAGTTGTAGCAGTATAGTGCGGTGCCTAGATGTAGCGGTGTAATGCAGTTCCTAGTTGTAGCAGTATAATGCAGTGCCTAGATGTAGTGGTGTAGTGCAGTGCCTACAGTGCCTAGATGTAGCAGTGTAGTGCAGTGCCTAGAGGTAGCAGTATAGTGCAGTTCCTAGTTGTAGCGGTGTAGTGCAGTTCCTAGTTGTAGCAGTATAGTGCAGTGCCTAGATGTAGCGGAGTAGTGCAGTTCCTAGTTGTAGCAGTATAGTGCAGTGCCTAGATGTGGCAGTGTAGTGCAGTTCCTCATTGTAGCAGTATAATGCAGTGCCTAGATGTAGCGGTGTAGTGCAGTTCCTAGTTGTAGCGGTGTAGTGCAGTGCCTAGATGTAGCAGTATAGTGCAGTTCCTAGTTGTAGCAGCATAGTGCAGTGCCTAGATGTAGTGGTGTAGTGCAGTTCCTAGTTGTAGCAGTATAGTGCGGTGCCTAGATGTAGCAGTGTAATGCAGTTCCTAGTTGTAGCAGTATAATGCAGTGCCTAGATGTAGTGGTAGTGCAGTGCCTACAGTGCCTAGATGTAGCAGTGTAGTGCAGTTCTTAGTTGTAGCGGTGTAGTGCAGTGCCTAGATGTAGCAGTGTAGTGCAGTGCCTAGATGTAGCGGAGTAGGGCAGTTCCTAGTTGTAGCAGTATAATGCAGTGCCTAGATGTGGCAGTGTAGTGCAGTTCTTCGTTGTAGCAGTATAATGCAGTGCCTAGATGTAGCGGTGTAGTGCAGTTCCTAGTTGTAGTAGTGCAGTGCCTAGATGTAGCGGTGTAGTGCAGTTCCTAGTTGTAGCAGTGTAGTGTAGTGCCTAGATGTAGCGGTGTAGTGCAGTTCCTAGTTGTAGCAGTGTAGTGTAGTGCCTAGATGTAGCAGTGTAGTGCAGTTCCTAATTGTAGCGGTTTAGTGCAGTGCCTAGACGTTGCGGTGTAGTGCAGTCACAGCTTCCTCTAGTGCTAGATAAAACCTCAGCTGAGATGGGTAACAGATGATCTGACAGTTTTTTCCTTGTAAGTTGTGCACACAATTTATTATCTGATTAATCCGTTTTTATATTTTGTTTCTTTGTCTGAATCCGGTTGCAGCATATGGAGCGTTGCTTTTGATTAGATGCTTTTTTAATAAAATAAGATTGTATAAAAGACGTGAACAGTGTACAGACATGTCTGTGTCTTCAGAACTAATCCTACAATGTATGTGCTGCTTGGTATGGTCAGGTTGAACTTCTGTGCATGCCTGCAGTATGTGTACTTCTGGAATCGTACGGTATATAGAAACGATCAGAAACTTTCTGTAGCTGCAGCGGAGACCAATCATTTAGCAAAGAGATTCCAAAGACGGTTTTGTGACCGATTGAAATAAATCGGATACAAATGTTGCTGGTTCCTGTTTAAACTTTTCACCATGCGTCCTTGTGCTGTGGAGTGTTGCCATTCTGTTTTAATTGGCACCCCTTCCCAACGCGGGCAAAAACAAACACATCTGCTCCTCAGTATACTGTAATGCAGGGCTTGAAATTTCCACTCACCCGCTCGCCAGTGGCGAGTGGAAAATTGTGGGGGCGAGTGTGTCCCCCAGGGCCATCTTGCTGAGCAGACTCAGAGCTCAGGCCGGATCTATCATTGGCACTGGGAGCCGTCAGACTGCTCAATAGCTGAGCACAGTGAAAGTAAAGGAAGGAGTGTGTGCTGTGCTCTCTGCCTCCCCCTAGAGTGCAGTACCCGGCTCTGTGAGTGAACAACGAAGTACTGCAAGTTTTTATGGGGTGGTGTCTGTGTGTATGAACATATGCCTGTGCGTGTGTATTTCTGTGTATGTACATATGTCTGTGCGTGTGTATTTCTGTGTATGTACATATGTCTGTGCGTGTGTATTTCTGTGTATGTACATATGTCTGTGCGTGTGTATTTCTGTGTATGTACATATGTCTGTGCGTGTGTATTTCTGTGTATGTACATATGTCTGTGCGTGTGTATTTCTGTGTATGTACATACGTCTGTGCGTGTGTATTTCTGTGTATGTACATATGTCTGTGCGTGTGTATTTCTGTGTATGTACATATGTCTGTGCGTGTGTGTTTCTGTGTATGCACATATGTCTGTGCGTGTGTATTTCTGTGTATGTACATATGTCTGTGCGTGTGTATTTCTGTGTATGTACATATGTCTGTGCGTGTGTATTTCTGTGTATGTATGTCTGTGCGTATTTCTGTACGTACATATGCCTGTGTGTGTGTATGTACATGTGTCTGTGCTGTGCTGTGTATGTGTACATGTCTTACGTGCCTGTGTGTATGTACATGTGTCTGTGCGTGTGTGTACATGTTTCTGTGTGTATGTACATGTCTGTGCGTGTGTACATGTTTCTGTGTGTATGTACATGTCTGTGCGTGTGTGTACAGGTGTCTCTGTTTCTGTGTTTTGTTGGTGGCAAGTAACTCTAAGGCCTGGCTAGTAGCTCAGGACTTGAAATTTTAAGCCCTGCTGTAATGCATGTAATAAAGAATACATGCATTGCCCTTCTCTGCTGGAAAATAATGAGGTGAGTGTGTTTTATGTCCCGTAGGTGTGCATGAAGGCCAAATAATGTACATCAGCTTACAGACAAGTTTTCTCATTGGTTTCAACATACATTGAAAATCACTGAGAATGAAAGTCATTGACATCCGTGAGGCTGTGCACAGCTGAGCACTATGTAGACATGCAGCCTGCTTCATCTTTGATGCACTGCCAAGTGACCACATTAACTCTTATGAGAGTTACCCTGAAGGGATCTGTTTCACCATGGGGCGGCACTGTGGAAAACCTCAAGGCAGGTTTGACCAGTGGTTTTGAACTGCTGAAATAGGAACAGGGCTTTACAGTCTGATTGTACAATTCCCCGTATTTAGTTTTAGAAATATCTTCAGGTTTGGGATTGCAAACTATTTATAAAAACCTAAAAGAAGCTGTCATTTAGAAATTATTTAATTTGACCAGGTTGAGAGTGGTGAGTTGGTAGAATTCAACACGACGGGTTCTCTTTTTTTTTTTTTTTTCTTTCAGCAAATTCTCCCATCTACCTTCCCCAATGTTCCCAGCTGCTCTGTTACTTTATCCTGTCCTTATGTCAGCTGCATATATAGCATGCATAGGGTTACCATCTTCTTCCTTCTGGTCTCATGGCCTAATGGCAGGTTTAGTCCCTTTAGCATTTACTGAAATGGCAGAAGAATTCAGGAGAAAGATAACTATCAGTATTTATGTTTTTTTTGTGATCTTTTTTTTTTAACTAGACCATATTGCTACAACAAAGTTGAATACTGTCCAAGCCAGACTTTTGAGGTTGTACCCCCTCTTCTCAGTCCAAACAATTCTTATCACTTTGCCTTAAATTGTCAAAGTGAGAGGTTATCTTAAAAGTAAAATTGATCAATCTATACTGAACCTATGGTAAAAAAATACATCAGCTGAAAGGTTAACAGCTAATCTCAGTAGATAAAAATAAAAAAGGTGGTAGAGGAAGGCAGGGCCAAGACCACTAAGGAGGTTTGAGTGATAGAAGAGCAGGGTCAAGACCACTACAGTTAGCATGGTAGAGGAGGGCAGGGTCAAGACCACTACAGTTAGCATGGTAGAGGAGGGCAGGGTCAAGACCACTACAGTTAGCATGGTAGAGGAGGGCAGGGTCAAGACCACTACAGTTAGCATGGTAGAGGAGGGCAGGGTCAAGACCACTACAGTTAGCATGGTAGAGGAGGGCAGGGTCAAGACCACTACAGTTAGCATGGTAGAGGAGGGTAGGGTCAAGACCACTACAGTTAGCATGGTAGAGGAGGGTAGGGTCAAGACCACTAAAAAGGTTTGAGTGGTAGAAGAGGAGCAAGGTCAAGACCACTGCAGTTAGCATGGTAGAGGAGGGCAGGGTCAAGACCACTAAAAAGGTTTGAGTGGTAGAAGAGGAGCAGGGTCAAGACCATCAAGGTTTGCATGGTAGAGAAAGGCAGGGTCAAGACTTCCAAGAAGGCATGAGTTGTAGAAGGAGAGCAAGGTCAAGACCACTAAAAAGGTTTGTATGGTGGGGGAAGCTAGGACCAAGACCACTAAGAAGGTGATTGTGGTAGAAGAAGAGCAAGGTCAAGACCACTAAGATTTGCATGGTAGAGAAAGGCAAGGTCAAGACCATTGAGAAAGTTTGAGTGGTAGAAGAAGAGTAGGGCCAAGACCACTAAGAAGGTTTGGGTGGTAGAAGAAGAGCAGGGTCAAAAGCACTAAGAAGGTTTGAGTGGTAGAAGAAGAGCAGGTTCAAGACCACTAAAAGGTTTGGGTGGTAGAAGAGCAGGGTCAAGACCACTAAGAAGGTTTGGGTGGTAGAAGAGCAGGTTCAAGACCACTAAAAAGGTTTGGGTGGTAAAAGAAGAGCAGGATCAAAAGCACTAAGAAGGTATGGGTGGTAGAAGAAGAGCAGGTTCAAGACCACTAGAATGTTTGGGTGGTAGAGGAAGGTAGGCCACTACCACTAAGATTTGGGTATTGAAGGAGGACAAGATTGAGTGGAAAAGTTGAAAGACGCAAGTAATTTCAGCTGCCTTCATGTGTGGGTCTGCTGATTTTTATAACATACTGTTTTCCCTAAAGGTTAGCTTTGTGTTTTCATCATATGCTTGGTTTGAATTGCTCATGTGCGAGACAGGTAGTTGCAGCTACCACCCCCCTTCCCTTTGACAGATTGTATGGGGAGAAGTTTCCCTGTACTATCAGGTTTGAAAACAGTGCAGCCATGCGGGGCTCCGCCCCCACACGGCCGCGTCACTCATTCACAGTGTTATGTGAATGAGTGCCTAGAAGGCCCGACAGCCTTGGCAGATGTCCGCTTGTAATTTTCAATAAACTTATATTATTATTATTATACAGTATTTATATAGCACCAATGGGTTTGCTCAACACTGTACAGTAGCAAGGGGGACAGAACATGAGACAAGACAGTAACAATACAATACACGAGGGGTTCGAGGGCCCTGCTCCTTGGAGCTTACAATCTAGGAGATATTCCCGTTATATTGTAAAGCGCTGAGCAAACTGTTGGTGTGATATAAATCCTGTATAATAATAATATATAAATCCTGTAATAATAATAATAATATATAAATCCTGTATAAAAATAATATATAAATCCTGTATAATAATAATATATAAATCCTGTATAATAATAATATATAAATCCTGAATAATAATAATAACTGCCACTGCGCTGTGGTGCGTCGTGGTAGTTTATTGAAGCTTCCTGTCAGTATATCTGCTTGCTCGTACATCCCAGGAGACCTGCATGGCAATGCTTTCCAGGCTCCTTTGGATAAAAAATAATTAACCTCCTTAGCGGTATTCCCGAGTGTAGCTCGGGGTAAAATTTCCATACCAAGAGCGGTAACCCCGAGCTACACTCGGGCTTACCATGCGGCGTTGCCCAGGGGGTCCCTGCAGCACTTACCTTGTCCTGCGCTCCCGCGATGTGTCCCCTGCAGCTATCTCCTCCGGCCGATGCCGGCATCCGGCTTCTGTGTTCCGGTCCCTGTGACGTCGGGACGTACAGGCGGCGGGAAATTTGAAATTTTTAAAAAATGTCATTTTTGCTGTCATTGCTGTTTCAATGCATTTCACATACATTTTGTCCCTACTGCTTTGTCCTGTGCCCTGCCTGCATTTTGAATGTTCTTTCTGCCTGGAAACTTAGAAAAGTCCATGGCGTCCAAAAAGCGTCCCTTTACGTCAAAAGCGGTTTTAGAACAGCGATAGTAAATCAGAACCACTTGCAGAATTGAGTGATAATGATTCGTGGGGGAAATTCGTCATCAGACACTGAAAACGATTTTGCGACTTTGCTCAGCGATGTGCGAATTTGCCTCTGTATTTCAAATTTCAGTGTTTTTGGTTTGATTATATTATTGAATTACATTTATTATTATTATATTATTATTTTTTATGATTATTTATTAAATTATAATTTATGATTTCGTGTTTCAAATTTTAACATACTCGGGATGTTTACTAGACTCTTGTTCGGACAGATTTCAGTGAGTTATTCCTAAAAATTACAGCCTACAATAAAAAACTACATATTTCCATGCAAAAAAATGGTACCGCTTTCAGCACAAAAAATCGGAAAGAATCATACCGCCGAGGAGGTTAATGCACGTTTTTTTTGCCTGCAAAAAAGTGTTTTATTATTTTTGTTCAAAAGGTAAAGCTGATCACCAGTCAGGACTGTTGACTTAACAAACCATCTCCACCTAACACCCCCCCCCCCCCCTTTGCCTGACATAACCTGTAAGCATTTCTTTTATAACTATATAATTACAATTGTCTTTGAATGAACCCTTCATTAAAGATCTCAGCCACAGGGCTTGAATTTCCCGAGTTCAGAAGGCTGGTCACCAGTGCACTCTTGCAAATGATCTTCTGTATTCCCGGCACGTCTTGCAGGCACATGGGGAACAAACGTTTTTGTGGGAAAAGGACATTGTGGAGTTCAGCCTTGGGCTAGCGGTACAGATGACCCTTAGTGCAAATGTAGGAAGTGAGAACCAGACTGTTCAAATCTCAAGTTCAGAGCGCATGTTTTTATATCGGCCAATCGCGTGTAGGTTTATCAGTGTCCATTCACTGAAAGATGAATTCTGTTTGGTCGCTATCTATTACGGTACTTTACTATTCGCTTTATTGAATAATCGTGTGTGCTGGAATTAGGTGCTGTTTTGTAATTAACAGGAAATGTAGTGGATGCTTTCTGTGAAGTCGTTAGTTAATCAATGGAATGATTAATTGTCTTAGCGATGCAGCCTTGTAATGGGAAATGGTTTTAATTGAAGGTGACAGTTGAGAGATTGGTATATGTAATTATTCCTTACTTAAAAATAGAAGTATATCAGAGTGCCTGTTGAAGATGATTGCTAGAACATAGAATAAATATCAATTCTATCATTTATGAGATTTTCTTTTAGAATCATACATTTATTATTTTATTTATTTATTACAGGTACTTACATAGCGCCGTCAATTTACACAGTGCTTTACATATATATTGTACATTCACATCAGTCCCTAACCCTCAAGGGGTGTACAATCTAAGGTCCCTAACTCACATTCATACATACACATACTAGGGACAATTTAGACAGGAGCCAATT